GTGCAATGGCGCGATCTCGGCTCACCGAAACCTCCGCCTCCTGGGTTCAAGCAATTCTCCTGCCTCAGCCTCCTAAGTAGCTGGGATTACAGGCACGCGCCACCATGCCCAGCTAATTTTTTTTGTATTTTTAGTAGAGACAGGGTTTCACCATGTTGACCAGGATGGTCTCGATCTCTTGACCTCGTGATCCACCCGCCTCGGCCTCCCAAAGTGCTGGGATTACAGGCTTGAGCCACCGCGCCCGGCCTACTGTATTTATTTTTGAGTCGGAGCCTCACTCTGTCGCCCAGGCTGGGGTACAGTGCTGCAATCTCGGCTCATTGCAACCTCTGTCTTCCAAGGTCAAGCAATTCTCATGCCTCAGCCTCCGGTAGCTGGGATTACATGCATGTACCACCATGCCCAGTTAATTTTTTTGTATTTTAACTAGAGATAGGGTTTCCATGGTTGGCCAGGCTGGTCTCAAACACAAATGATCCGCTTGCCTCAGCCTTTCAAAATGTTGGGAGTATAGGCATTAGCCACTGCACCTGGTATAATTCATTCACTTAAAACTTGTTTTTTTTTAAGAGACAAGGTCTCACTTTGTCACCAAGGCTGGAGTGTAGTGGGACAATATTCACTCACTGCAGCCTCGAACTCCTGGCCATGAGTGACCTGCCACCCACCTCAGCCTCGAGTAGCTGGGCCTATAGAAAAAAGCCAGCAAGCCTGCTAATTATAATTACCTTTATTTATTTATTTATTTAGAGATGGAGCCTAGCTCTGTTGCCCAGGCTGGAGTGCAGTGGCATGACTCTCAGCTCGCTGCAACCTCTGTCTCTCGGATTCAATTGATTCTCTTGCCTCGGCCTCCCAAGTAGCTGGGACTACAGGTGCCCACCACCATACCCAGCTAGTTTGTGTGTGTGTGTGTGTGTGTGTGTGTGTGTGTTTAGTAGAGACAGGGTTTCATGATGTTGGTCAGGCTGGTCTCGAACTTCTTACCTCAGGTGATCCACCCACCTTGGCCTCCCAAAGTGCTGGAATTACAGGCATCAGCCTCATTTACCTTTAAATGAAAATAGCCACATGTGGCTAGTGGCTGCACTCTTGTTGGGTGCTGGTCTAGGAGAGCATGAAGGTGTTTACTGTGATGTTCTTGCAATTGTTCTGTGGCTTTGAACATTTTCCAAGATAAGGCCATTTTGAAAAACAGATTTGTGGTGGCTCATGTGTGTAATCCCAGCACTTAGGGAGGCTGAGGCGGGAGGATGATTTGAGTCTGGAAGTTTGAGACTGGCTTGGGAGACATAGCAAAACCGCTTCTACAAAAAAATTAAAAATTAGGCCCGGACAGTGGCTTACGCCTGTAATCCCAGCACTTTGGGAAGCTGAGGTGGGCAGATCACTTGAGGTCAGGAGATCAAGACCAGCCTGGCCAACATGGTGAAACCCTGTCTCTATTAAAAATATAAAAATTAGGCCGGGCGCGGTGGCTCAAGCCTATAATCCCAGCACTTTGGGAGGCCGAGGCGGGTGGATCACTAGGTCAAGAGATCGAGACCATCCTGGTCAACATGGTGAAACCCCGCCTCTACTAAAAATACAAAACATTAGCTGGGCGTGGTGGCGCGTGCCTGTAATCCCAGCTACTCAGGAGGCTGAGGCAGGAGAATTGCCTGAACCCAGGAGGCGGAGGTTGCGGTGAGCCAAGATCGCGCCATTGCACTCCAGCCTGGGTAACCAAAGTGAAACTCCGTCTCAAAAAAATAAATAAATAAAAAATAAAAAAATAAAAATAAAAATAAAAATTAGCCAGGCATGGTGGTGGATGCCTGTAATCCCAGCAACTAGGGAGGAGGCTGAGGCAGGAAAATCGCTTAAACCCAGGAAGCGAGGTTTCTGAGCCGAGATCGCGCCATTGCACTCCAGCCTGGGTAACAGAGCGAAACTCTGCCTCAAAAAAAAGAAAAAAAAAAAAAATAGGGGTTGTGTTACATGCCTGTACTCCCAGCTACTCAGGCAGTTGAGGTGGGAGGATCACTTGAGCCCTGGAGGTGGAGACTCCAGTGAGCTATGATTTGCACCACTGCATTCCAACCTAGGAGACAGAGTGAGACTCTGTGTCAAAAAAAAAAAAAAAAAAAAAAACCACGACAAAAAAACCAAGCCAGGCCTGTAATCCCAGCACTTTGGGAGGCTGAGGTGGGGGGATCAACTGAGATCAGGAGTTTGAGATCAGCCTGGCCAACACGGTGAAACCCCATCTCTATTAAAAATACAAAAATTGGCCGGGCGCGGTGGCTCACGCCTGTAATCCCAGCACTTTGGGAGGCCGAGGCGGGTGGATCACGAGGTCACGAGATCGATACCATCCTGGTCAACATGGTGAAACCCCGTCTCTACTAAAAATACAAAAATTGCCGGGTGCGGTGGCTCAAGCCTGTAATCCCAGCACTTTGGGAGGCCGAGGCAGGTGGATCACGGGGTCACGAGATTGATACCATCCTGGTCAACATGGTGAAACCCCGTCTCTACTAAAAATACAAAAATTGCCGGGCGCGGTGGCCCAAGCCTGTAATCCCAGCACTTTGGGAGGCCGAGGCAGGTGGATCACGAGGTCGAGAGATCGAGACCATCCCAGTCAACATGGTGAAACCCCGTCTCTACTAAAAATACAAAAAATCAGCTGGGCATGGTGGTGCGTGCCTGTAATCCCAGCTACTCAGGAGGCTGAGGCAGGAGAATTGCCTGAACCCAGGAGGCGGAGGTTGCGGTGAGCCGAGATCGCGCCATTGCACTCCAGCCTGGGTAACAAGAGCGAAACTCCGTCTCAAAAAAAAAAAAAAAAAAAAAAAAATTGGCCGGGCGCGGTGGCTCAAGCCTGTAATCCCAGCACTTTGGGAGGCCGAGGCAGGTGGATCGCGAGGTCAAGACATGGTGAAACCCCGTCTCTACTAAAAATACAAAAAATTAGCTGGGCATGGTGGCTCGTGCCTGTAATCCCAGCTACTCAGGAGGCTGAGGCAGAAGAATTGCCTGAACCCAGGAGGCGGAGGTTGCAGTGAGCCGAGATTGCGCCATTGCACGCCAGCCTGGGTAACAAGAGCGAAACAATGTCTCAAAAAAAAAAACCAAAAATTAGCTGGGCGTGGTGGCAGGTGCCTGTAGTCCCAGCTACTCAGAAGGCCGAGGCAGAAGAATCACTTTAATTCAGGAGGCGGAGGTTGGAATGAGCCAAGATTGTGCCATTGCACCCCAGCCTGGGTGACAAGAGCAAAATTCCATCTCAAAAAAAGAAAAAAAAAGGAAAGAAAAATGTATCTATTTTAAAGCTTAAAAGGGAGCACAGTGAAAAAAGACACAGAATCATAATTATTGGTAGGTTTATTAAATTTGTTTACCTTCTAAAAAAACGATTACAAAAAAGAATACTTCATGTAAGTGTAATACTGGCTTTATGGACGTACCGTGATCAGAAAGTGAAATTAAAGCTCATGGAGATGCGTGAGAAGAGAATGGGCACACGGGCAGGATCCCTGTAGCCCACTGAGAGAAGGAAGTACAGAGAGACCCATAGACCCATCTCAGGGGTCACACATTTCTGGGCCCAGGAGTTGCTTCCAAGAGCTTAAAATACATGTGCTGGCTGGCTCCAGGGCTGGACGCACAGGCACAGGACTCTTGTACCGCTTCTCAAAGCTGCCCCTTCCCCGTCAGACACCAGCAATGGTTCCCAATCAGCTTTGGTTTTGTTTTCTCTGCAATTTACACACAAACACCATCCTACTGTCCGTCCATCCATCCATCCATCCATCCATCCATCCATCCATCCATCCATCATCCATCCATCATCCATCCACCCATCCATCATCCATCCACCCATCCTCCACCCATCCATCCATCCATCATCCATCCATCATCCATCCACCCATCCTCCACCCATCCATCCACCCATCCTCCATCCATCCATCCATCCATCATCCATCCATCCATCCACCCATCCTCCATCCATCCATCCATCCTCCATCCATCCATCCATACATCCATCATCCATCCATCATCCATCCACCCATCCTCCATCCATCCACCCATCCTCCATCCGTCCATCCATCCATCCATCATCCATCCATCCACCCATCCTCCATCCATCCATCCATCCATCCTCAAGCCATCCTGCTTGTTGTCTCTTTTGAACAGCCAAGCCCTATTTTGTTTTACGTACATTCCCTTCACTAAAAATCAAAGCAAGCCAATCTACACTGAGCCAAGAAACCTACTTTTCAAAGGAGAGAAACCACTGCTTTGCTTTCTTTCATGAACCTGCGAGCTCTCTGCACTCTCTTGCTGAAATTTGGCTTTAAAGCCGTGGAGGCTGAGCCCACTGGCCTCCAAAGGGCAGTACACATATTTGGTTTGGAGCACACTCCTGATCACAAGGCACATTTTTAGAGGCTTGGAACCCTTCCCTTTCTCTTGCTCACCAAGGAAAAGGCACAAGAAAGAAAATGATGTGGAGATTCTTGGGGGACAGAGCAGGCCATGAAGGAAACTGTGAGTGTCTCTGGCAAGCCCCATTTCCCGCAGGCTCTGGTCCAGGCAGCTCCGGAAAGTCTCTGGGTTGTTAAAAAACCCAGCTGGCCCATGTTTGGTCTTCAGAAAAGCCCTGTCTCTTTAAGTTTGCGCCGGGAGGCCTGGGGACGGCCAACTTTTAATCGTGCACACATGGGGTTTTTGGGAGCTGGCCCTGCGCTTTGCCAACAAGCGCATGCCCTGTTTTCTTTCCTTTGAGGAGAGAAATTCTGGAGCCCTGGGGAGGAACAGGATGGCCCTGTGACCGTAGTCTGGGGCCTGGCAGGGTGGGGGGATGCAGAAGCCAACCTGAGAGCCAGATCCCTTTCCTGCATCTCCAGGTCTGAAGGATTTTCTAGGAAAATAACCTTTGCCAAGGCTTCCATGTGGGGAAGGGACGGGTTTCTGAGTAATTTCTCTCTTGCTCTCCCTTTCTTTCTTTCCTTGAGACAGGATCTCGCCATGTGGCCCAGGCTGAAATGCAGTGGTGTGATCACAGCTCACTGCAGCCTTGACCTCGGGGCTCAGCCTCCCAAGTAGCTGGGACTACAGGCGCGCACCACCCACACCCGGCTAACTTGTAAATTTCTTGTAGAAATGGGTCTTGTTGTGTTGCTTAGGCTGGTCTTGAACTTCTGGGCTCAAGCTCAAGCTCCTGCCTTGGCTTCCCAAAGTGCTGGGATTACAGACGTGAGCCACCATGCCTGGCCCGTACTTTCTCAATTGTGAATTTGTTCCCTGTAAGTCACATAGCCTGTCCTGAGTCCCTTCATTTGAATGAGGGTAAAAAGACAGAGGTGACAAGGACAGAATCTGTCTTGGGAAGCAATCAGAAGAAAATTCCCCTAAGAAAGCTGTCTGGGAGGCAGTGGACATAACACTAGTCTACATCAGACAATTAAATGTGAGGGATGAAGGGTGAGCCCCAACCGGTGCGAAATAACACTTAACATTAAAATGAAAAGATGCAAGTTCCAGTGACTTTCAAATCTGGCAACAAATCATAAGACTCCCACCCCCTCTTCTGCAACAATGATTCAAAAATACGGTTATTTTTTTCTGTTCCTTCTTCCTCCATCCATAATTACCAGCTGATTGTTCTCAGTGTTCTTCATGAAACCCATACCCCAGCATCGGCCCTGGCGCCAATGTATACAAGAATTTTGCTTCGGTCTGCGCTGCGGCTGCTTTGAACCGAGGAGCCAAGAAAACCGGCTTGGAGCTGGAGTCCTGTGGCCGGCGGGCTCCCCCAGGGAAGCAGAGGGAAAATGTGCTTGCCTTTGAGCTGTGGGCCCTGGGGAGCGGGAGTCGGGTGGGTCAGGGATGAACGAGAGCAAGGAGGAGACGGGACAAGGGACGGTTGGCCCCCCAGGGGAGGTCCGCGTGTGGCCTCCTCACGGCTACTCTTCTGCCGAGGATGATGCAGGGCTCTCGTCATCCGACATCGGGGCAAACTGAAAGGAGAAGCAGCATTCTTTTCATTTGGGATCCTTGCCAATATCCCGAGGCGCCGATGTGGTGGCTGGCCTGGTAGATGTGGTGGGTGAGTGGGAGGGAGGCATGGCCCCTGGCCCCAAGGAGGCGGCCATCTGGGGGCACCGTTTTGAAGAGGCAAACTGGGGCCAAGGAGCTTCACGGGGGTGAGGGATGGAAGGGAATGAGAGTGGACAGTGGCTGGTCAGGGAGGGGGAAGTCTCAGCTGGCTGTGAATGGCATCGAGGGGCCAGCCATAGGGGAAGGGAATTCCAGGCAGCCGAAACAGCATGTGCAAAGGCCCTGGGGTAAGTGCAGAGGAGGCGTGGCATTAAGGCCAGTGTGGGTGGAGGGGGAGAGAAGCGGGAGTGGGGAAGGTGAGGGTGGTTGTATACGGCTTGGTGGGTTTTGGAGAGGATTTTGGCTTTTTTTTTTTCTTTTCTTTTTTTTTTAGGTGGACTTTCACTCTTGTTGCCCAGGCTGGAGTACAATGGTGCAATCTCGGCTCACTGCAACCTCCACCTCCTGGGTTCAAGTGATTCTCCTGCCTCAGACTCCTGAGTAGCTGGGATTACAGGCGCCTGTCACATGTCTGGCTAATTTTTTGTATTTTGAGTAGAGACAGGGTTTTGCTATGTTGGCTAGGCTGGTCTCGAACTCCTGACCTCAGGTGATCCGCCTGCCTGGCCTCCCAAAGTGCTGGGATTACAGGTATGAGCCACTGCACCTGGCTGGAGTGTAGTGGTCCAATCATAGCTCACTGCAGCCTCAACCACCTGGGCTCAGGCAATCCTCCTGCCTTAGCCCCCTGAGTAGCTGGGACTATAGGCACGTACCACCAAGCCCCGCTAATTTCTTTTCTTTTCTTTTTTTTTTTTTTTAAGACAGTCTTGTTCTGTCACCCAGGCTGGAGTGCAGTGGTGTGATCTTGGCTCACTGCAACCTCCACCTCCTGGGTTCAAGCAATTCTCATGCCTCAGCCTCCCGAGTAGTACAGGTGCCCACCACCACACTCAACTAATTTTTATATTTTTAGTAGAGATAGGGTTTCACCATGTTGGCCAGGCTGGTCTTGAATTCCTGGCCTCAGGTGATCCACCTGCCCTGGCCTCCCAAAGTGCTGGGATTACAGGCGTGAGTCACTGCGCCCGGCCTAAATGCTCCTTAAACACATCAAGCACATTCCTGCCTCAGGGCCTTTGCACCGCCTGCTCCTGCTGCCTGGAAGGCCACGTGATTCACTCGTTGACTTCTCCAGGTGCTGACTCAAATGTCATCTCTTCTCTGAGGACCTCCCCATCCCTCGCCATCCCACGTCCCGTGTTTTTTTCTGAGACAGAGTCTCTCTGTGTTGCCCAGGCTGGAGTGCAGTGGCATGATCTCTTGCTTACTGCAACCTCTGCCTCCAGGGATCAGGGATCAAGCGATTCTCCTGCCTCAGCCTCTAGAGCAGCTGGGACTACAGGTACACGGCCTCCCAAAGTGTTGGGATGACAGGTGTGAGCCACCGCGCCCCGCCTGATTATGTCTCTTACCAGAATGCCCCCTCCATATGGGTGGATACTGTTTTCTGTTTTGATCAGTGCTGTGACCCCTGAGGACTGCCTAGAACTGGGTCTAACACACAGCGGGTGCTCAATAAATATTTTTCAAATGAGTGAATGGTGACTAAGACGTGCATTTGGAGCCAGACAGACCCAGGCGCGAAAACTGTTATGCCATCCATGACCGTGCAGCTTCTCTGTGACTAATTTCCTCACTGGGGCACCATGAGGGTTTAGCAAGCAGCTGACCATGAAGCTCTCAGCAGGAACCCCAGACACAATCAGCTCTTCATAAGCCTCCGTCCCCCTGGCCAGGGACAGTGGCCGACCCCTGTAATCCTGGCGTTTTCAGAGGCCGAGGAGGAAGCATGGCTTAAACCCAGGAGTTCAAGCCCAGCCTGGGCAACATAGTGAGACCCCCATCTCTACAAAAGATAGAAAAAAAATGGCCAGGTGCGATGGCTCACGCCTGTAATCCCAACACTTTGGGAGGTAGAGGTGGGCAGATCACTTGAGCTCAGGAGTTCAAGACCAGCCTGGCTAACATCAGCCTGGTGAAACCCTATCTTTACTAAAAATTCAAAAATTAGCCGGTCGTGGTGGTGTGCACCTATAATCCCAGCTATTCTGGAGGATGAGGCAGGAGAATCGCTTGAACCTGGGAGATACAGGTTGCAGCGGGTGGAGACTGCATCACTGCACTCCAGTCTAGGTGATAGAGCAAGACCGTCTGAAAACAAAACAAAACAAAACTCAGCCAGGTATAGTGGCATGAGCCTGTAGTCCCAGCTACTCAGGAGGCCGAGGTGGGAGGATCACTTGAGCCCAGGAAGTGGAGGCTGCAGTGAATTATAAATGTGCTGCCGCATTCCAGCCTGAGTGACAGAGTAAGACCCTGTCTCGCTGGGAGCAGTGGCTCACATCTGTAATCCCAGCACTTTGGGAGGCTGAAGTGGGGGGATCGCCTGAGGTTGGGAGTTTGAGACCGGCCTGATGGAGAAACCCCGCCTCTACTAAAAGTACAAAATTAGCCAGGTGTGGTGGTGCCTGCCTGTAATCCCAGCTACTCAGGAGGCTGAGGCAGGAGAATCGTTTGAACCAGGGAAGCGGAGGTTGCGGTGAGCCGAGATCATGCCATTGCACTCCAGCCTGGGCAACGAGAGCAAAACTCCGTCTCAAAAAAAAGATCCTGTCTCAGCCGGGCGTGGTGGCTCAAGCCTGTAATCCCAGCACTTTGGGAGGCCGAGGCGGGTGGATCACGAGGTCAAGAGATTGAGACCATCCTGGTCAACACGGTGAAACCCGTCTCTACTAAAAATACCAAAAAAAAAATTAGCTGGGCATGGTGGTGTGTGCCTGTAATCCCAGCTACTCAGGAGGCTGAGGCAGGAAAATTGCCTGAACCCAGGAGGCGGAGGTTGCGGTGAGCCGAGATCGCGCCATTGCACTCCAGCGTGGGTAACAAGAGCGAAACTCCGTCTCAAAAAAAAAAAAAAAAAAAAAAGATCCTGTCTCAAAACAAAAACAAAAACAAAAATAAAAACAAATCTGTCTCCTCTCAGAGCCCCGCCCGCTGCGCACCCGCCCTGCCTGGTTGAGACTCACCGAGCACTTGATGTTCATGCGGGAATACAGCATGGACGCAATCTCACTCTGCCCCGCGTCCAAGGCCACCATCAGAGCTGTGCTCCCGTCCTGCAAAGTATCGGTGCTAGGAAGGATGTCCCCACACTGTGCTGCCGCCCTCCCCGGGGTGCACCTGGTTGGAGACTCACGCGATCCATGAGTGAGATGTCACAGCTGGGCACAGCCAGCAGCAGCCCCGCGATCTCCTTGTGACCGTGCTCACAGGCGCACATGAGGGCCGTGGAGCCATCATCATCTTGCACGTTGACGTCCGCCTCGCAGGCCAGCAGGGCTTTGACCACGTCCACCCGCCCGTGGCTGACTGCCAGCATCAGGGCTGTCTGTCCGGCCTGGGGAGGGCAAGGAACAGGATTATGGCTCATGCAGGCCCCGGGGCAGGACACCCTTGCTCTAGAACCTGCTGTGGCTCCCACATACTCTGATGGTGAAATGTACCCTCAACTTGCTGGTCTCCTTCTGAATCTCAAACAACCCTTCTCATCACTGGGGGAGACAGAAAGCAGAAGAGTAGTTGTGAGGGGCTAGGAGAAGCGGAGGCAGGGGGAGAAATAATGAATGACTACTACTGGATACAGGCTTCCTTTGGGGGTGATGAGAACGTTCTGGAATTAGACAGAGGTGCTGGTTGCACAACACGGTGAAGGTGTTTTCATGCCAGCAGTGATTTTAGTATTGTTTTGTTTGAGAGACAGGGTCTTGCTCTGTTGCCCAGGTTGGAGTGCAGTGGCACGATTGCAGCTCACGGCAGCCTCGACTTCCCCAGGCTTGGGTGATCCTCCCACCTCAGCCTCCTGAGTAGCTGGGATTATAGGCATGAGCCACAGTGCCTGGCTAATTTTTGTATTTTTTGTATAGATAGGGTTTTCCATGTTGCCCAGGCAAACTGTTCCCTTTCAAAGGGTGTTTTGTGCGCTGTGGCCCAGGCCAGTAATCCGAGCACTTTGGGAGGCCGAGGCGGGGGGACTGCTTGAGCACAGAAGGTCAAGGCTACAGTGAGCTGTGATGATGCCACCGCAATCCAGCCTGGGTGACAAAGTGAGACCCTGTCTCAAAAAAAAAAAAAAAGTTAGAAATAAAGGGGTTAATCTTGTTTTGTGAATTTCACCTTCTTTTCTTTCTTTTTTAATAGAGGAGGGTTGGTGGGGGGTGGGGGGGGGGTTTCCCTATGCTGCCCAGGCTGGTCTCGAACTCCTGACCTCAAGCAATACTCCTGCCTTGTTCTCCCAAAGTGCTGCGATTACAGGCATTAGCCACCTTGCCAAACCTCACCTTAATTTTTTTTTTTTTTGAGACAGAATCTCACTCTGTCACCCAGGCTGGGGTGCAGCGGTGTGATCTCAGCTCACTGCAACCTCCACTTCCCAGGTTCAAGTGATTTTACTGCCACCTCCTGAGTATCTGGGATTACAGGCATGTGCCACCATGCCCGGCTAATTTTTTTATTTTTTAGTAAAGACAGGGTTTCACCATGTTGGCCAGGCTGGTCTTGAACTCCTGACCTCAAGTGATCTGCCCAACTCAGCCTCCCACAGTGCTGCAATTACAGGCATGAGCCACGGTGCCTGGCCTTCATTTTTTGAAAATGAAGTCACTAAAAAAAAAATTCTTGGAAATTAAAGCAAAATTAAATCAATAAAGATAAAGCAAGTCATGCCTTCTATGGCTCATCACAGCTCCCTGTTGTGTTCCTTTGCTGTCTGCAGGCTGTTCCCAATCCTCCTCCTCACTGTCCCCACCAGGTCCCTGCTTCTCTGGTCTTTTTTAAATTTTCTTTATGTTTGAGAAGGAGTTTCGCTCTTGTTGCCCAGGCTGGAGTGCCATGGCGCGATCTCAGCTCACTGCAACCTCCACCTCCCGGGTTCAAGCGATTCTCCTGCCTCAGCCTCCTGAGTAGCTGGGATTACGGGCATGTGCCACCACACCTGGCTAATTTTGTATTTTTAGTCGAGATGGGGTTTCTCCTTGTTGGTCAGGCTGGTCTGGAACTCCCGACCTCCGGTGATCTGTCCGCACTGTCCTCCCAAAGTGCTGAAATTACAGGTGTGAGCTACTGCACGTGGCCTTCCTTGCGCTTTTGCCCAGACACCTGTTCATAGGCCCCAGTCACCTCCACAGTCAACTGTTTCTGCTTTCCAACACACATCCGAAGGGAGCTCTCAAACCAGGGATCAGTCCACGCCACTTCCCTGCTTAAACTCCCCTGGTGGCTTCCTGTAGCCCTTGAGTCCATACTGGCTTGAGTCCTGGTGCTTCCTGAAATGTGTATGTCTCAAAGCACGAGCTAGTGAGCTTCAGGAGACCATGCCTGCTTATTCACCATTTGAGTCCCCAGTATCCAGCTCGGGGAACCCAGTTGCTGCTCAATGAACTGTCCAGCAGGATGTAGGACAGGGTCATATTAAGAAAGGTAAGGGGCCGGGCGCGGTGGCTCAAGCCTGTAATCCCAGCACTTTGGGAGGCCGAGGCGGGTGGATCACGAGGTCAAGAGATCGAGACCATCCTGGTCAACATGGCGAAACCCCGTCTCTACTAAAAATACAAAAAAATTAGCTGGGCGTGGTGGCGCGTGCCTGTAATCCCAGCTACTCAGGAGGCTGAGGCAGGAGAATTGCCTGAACCCAGGCAGCGGAGGTTGCGGTGAGCCGAGATCGCGCCATTGCACTCCAGCCTGGGTAACAAGAGCGAAACTCTGTCTCAAAAAAAAAAAAAAAAAAGAAAAGAAAAAAAAAAAAAAAGAAAGGTAAGGACCCCCATATCCTCCATTCCTTCCAGTTTCCACAAGAAGGGCCTGTGTCAGAGGCAGCCTGGCCATGAAGAGCTAGACCACCCGGATTTGGGCCTGGCACCCAGCTGGGATGCCACAAAGCAGGAAGAGCCGCCTGGGTCTGCAGCTGCCGAGGGACCCTACCTGGCTGGCTTTGGCATTGACGTCGCCAAGCCGGAAGAGCTGAAGGACAGTCTCGATGTCGTCCTGGGTCTTCAGGGTGGCCAGGGCAGTGAGCATAATTGGGCTGTAGCCAGCACGGTTCTGTTTATCCACCTTGCAGACACCTAGAGGGGTGGTGTGAACCCTCAGACCAGGCATCTCTGCTGGTGGACCACCCCAAGGAACATGGGTATCACGTCTCCTCCATCAGTCTAGCATGCCTCCCTCCCTTGCTTTTCTCAGACAGAGGACCCTACTCTGCCCAGAGGCCTCCATCTCCACTGGGTCACCCCACTAGACCAGGGGCTCCTGAACTTGGAGACGATCCCTCCTTCATCAGATCTGGGGCCCCCGATGCTGGGCATCTGTATTTAGGGCTGAGAACAGAAACTGGGTCTCCCCCATTAATTTGGAACAGCCATTTACTCTCAGACTGGCCCATGTCTCCCCCATCAGCCTGTGGGCCCTGCATCCTTCATCACCCTGGGAGGCCGTCTCCCCAATAGAAGGGCATGTTTCTTCCTGCCTAACTGAGGACCATGTCTTCCTTCCAAGCCTGACTTGAGGCCGCATCCTTCTCTTAGACCAGGGCTCCAGGGATGTCACCTCCATCCTGCAGGTGTGTCTGGGGATGCTGGAGGGCCACGTGTTTTCCCTAAGATCACTTCTGCCTTTTCCATTACGCTGGCTAAAGGTAGGACGTGTACCTCCCCCACCAGACTGGGAAGGCGGTGTCTCCTCCATCAGACTGGGAGGACAGCATCTCTCCCGTAAGACCAGGAGGATGGAGTCTCTGCTGTCAGACTAGGAAGAGTCATGTCTCCCTTGTTAGACTGGGAGGGCAGTGTCTCCACCATTAGACTGGGAAGACAGCATCTCCTTTATCAGACTGGGAGGGCCACCTCCCCCAGACAATGAACTGGGAAGAGGATGTCTCCTTCATTAGGCTAGGCAGGTGTATCTCCTCCATCAGCCTGGGAGGGTGGTGTCCCCCCACCATCAGACTCGCAAGGTGGCATCTCCCATATCAAACTGGGAAAGTCACATCTCCCCCATCAAACTGGGAAGGCAGCATCTCCTCCATCAGACTGGGAGGGCCATCATGTACCCCCTCATGGAACTGGGAAGATAGTGTCTCCTCTATCGGACTGGAGAACAGGTGTCCCTCCACATCTGATTGGAAGGTGGCATCTCCCATGTCAGACTGGGAGAGAGGTGTTCCCTCTATTATACTGAGAAGGCCACACCTCCCCCATCATCCTCCTCCTCCATCAGACAGGGAGGGCAGTGCCTTCCCTATCAGGCTGGGGACGGCGGACAGCAGCCGGTTTGGAGCCTTGTCCTCCCCGCAGGGCTCACCGCTGTCCAGCAGCTGCTGCACCACCGGGAAGTTGGCGTGAGACACGGAGTAGTGCAGCGCTGTGTTGCCGTTGCTGTCGGCGATGTTGACCACGTAGTCCAGCAGCCGCCCAGACATGGCCCGGAACGTGACCAGGTGCCGCCGCACAAGCTCGGGGTGTGCGTCGCTGCGGCAGGCCAGGCGCAGCCACTCCTGCAGCACCGTGGTGTAGGCCACTTTCTGCATGCGAGTCGGGGGAAGGGTGTGAGGGCGGGGAGGCCCACTGGGACACCTCCCCAACCCCGACGGGCCCCCTGGAGCAAAGTGTGGTGCCCTCGTCCTGGAAAAGGCTCTCAAGGGAAGTGCAGACACTCCCAGAGGGAAGCGTAGACATCCCTGTCCCAATAAGACCCTCGGAGTAGGGTGCAGACTCTAATCCCCAACATGTTCCCTCGAGGAAGGTGTGAGCGCCTCCACCCTGGATATAGCTTCTCTCTCTCTTTTTTGAGATGGAGTCTCACTCCGTCACCGGGTTGGAATGCAGTGGCGTGATCTCAGGTCACTGCAACCTCTGCCTCCTGGTTTCACGCGATTCTCCTGCCTCAGCCTCTTGAGTAGCTGGGATTACAGGTTCCCACCACCACACCCAGCTAATTTTTTCTATTTTTAATAGAGATGGAGTTTCACCATGTTGGCCAGGATGGTCTTGATCTCCTGACCTAGTAATCTACCCGCTTCAGCCCCACAAAGTGCTGGGATTATAAGCAAGAGCCACCGTGCCCAGCTTTTTTTTTTTTTTTTTTTTTTTTTTTTTGAGACAGAGTTTTGCTCTTGTTGCCAGGGCTGGAGTACAGTGGCATGATCTCAGATCACTGCAACGTCCACCTTGGGTTCAAGCAATTCTCCTGCCTCAGTTTACCAAGTAGCTGGGATTACACGCACCTGCCACCACGCCCAGCTAATTTTTGTATGTTCAGTAGAGACAGAATTTTGTCATGTTTTGGCCAGGCTGGTCTAGAACTCTTGACCTAAGGCGATCCACCAGCCTTGGTCTCCCAAAGTGCTGGGATTACAGGCATAAGCTACTGTGTCTGGCTTCCTTTTTTTTTTTTTTTTTTTTTTTTTAAAACCATGGGGTCTGCTCTGTTGCCCAGGCTGGAGTGCAGTGGCATGATCAGGGCTCATGGCGGCCTCACCCTCCTAGGCTCAAGCTACCTTCCCATCTCCACCTCCCAAGTAGCTGGGACTACAGGCAAGCACCACTATGACTGGCTAATATAAAAAAATATTTGTAGAGGTTGGGTACAGTGGTTCACGCCTGTAATCCCAGCACTTTGGGAGGCTGCGGTGGGTAGATCACTTGAGGTCATGAGTTGGAGACCAACCTGGACAACATGGTAAAACCCCATCTCTACTCAAAATACAAAAAATTAGCCAGGCGTGCTAGTAGTCCCAGATACTTGGGAGGCTGAGGCAGGAGACTTGCTTGAACCGGGGAGGCAGAGGTTGCAGTGAGCTGAGATCATGCCACTGCACTCCAGCCTGGGCGACAGAGTGAGACTCCGTCTCAAAAAATAAAAGAATTTGTTTGTAGAAATTGGGTCTCACGGGCCGGGTGCGGTGGCTCAAGCCTGTAATCCCAGCACTTTGGGAGGCTGAGGCGGGTGGATCACGAGGTCGAGATCGAGACCATCCTGGTCAACGTGGTGAAACCCCGTCTCTACTAAAAATATAAAACATTAGCTGGGCATGGTGGCGCGTGCCTGTAATCCCAGCTACTTAGGAGGCTGAGGCAGGAGAGTTGCCTGAACCCAGGAGGCGGAGGTTGCGGTGAGCCGAGTTTGTGCCATTGCACTCCAGCCTGGGTAACAAGAGCGAAACTCCGTCTCAAAAAAGAAAGAAAGGAAAAGAAAGAAATGGGGTCTCACTATGTTGCTCAGGCTGGTTTTGAACTCCTGGCCTCAAGCAATCCTCCTGCCTTGACCTCCCAAAGCACTGGGATGACAGGGACTGCGCCCGGCCCTGGTTATAATCTCCAAAGTCAAGTGTAGACGCCCAAAAAGGGAAATCTGGATGTCCCTCCCCGGAAGCTCCCAGTAAGAACAGGAACCCCAGGCCAGGCTTGGCCAGCAAACAGTCACCCTCCAGCCTCGCCCTATCTCCCTGGCCTCTCTCCGAGGCCCGTAACTCGAGCACCACCCACCCCGAAGCTTTGGGCTTGGGTCTTAGAGTCCCCACTAGGCAGGAGCAGGAAGTCACTGAGGATGAGGAGAGGCCACGGGTGTGGTGGGAGTAGGGGTCCAGGGCGGGCCCAGGGCCAGACCTTACCAGCTCCCGCTCTGTGAGGGCGTTGGCATTGTCCAGGTACTTTTCCAGGGCCAAGCAGGCTGAGATGAGGTCAGGGCTTAGCTCCATCCTGCCAGGAACAGACAAGCGGGGAACTAAGTAACCCCCAGCCCCCTGCGTTCTCCCTCCAAATCCTCATATCCCACGCTGGTGCCTGGGAAGGGACCTGACGTTCTGCACCATGTCACCCACACTAGGGAGACCTGAATGGTGGCATCTCAGACCCTCCTTCACCCGGAACACACATTTACATTGCACCCCAAAAGGCAGATGTGGGGAACACGCAGACCCCCAAGGGAGAATGGACACACAAGCTGAAGTTCATTCTAAATGCCCACTGGCAGATGGAAGATATTTCCCAAGGGCAAATTTTTTCACCAGGGAAATAAAAAAGAGACATAAACAGAACAGGCAGGTAGAGCGAACGTCCCAAAGTAGGTGGGTAGCTTCAGGATAAACTTTGGCTGGCCCCCTAAATCCTAACCCCGGCAGCCCAAAATACTTCCACCAGGGCCTTTAGCAAAGCCTCTAGAACTTCAGATGCCCAGAAGGAGCAAGCGATTGTTTGATAATTCAGACTAAAGTGAGCATGGCTGATAGGAGGGTCCTTCAAAGGGCGTGAATGGTGGGGTTTGAGGTAGAGGTCATCCATTCCTGGCCCTGCTTAAATCCCTCCCACCCACAAAACTGACCTGATCTCCTCCTCTGTGTTTGATCCCGACGCCCCCTCTGCTGTGGGTATGTGCTGAGATTCTCGAGACAGTTGGCACTCCTGCCGGCTGGTCTTGGCCACTGCCGTCCCTGCAGGTCTGAGCTGGGGGGCTTCGGTCACACTCGGAACCCTCTCCCCCGGCTCTGGGGCCTCGTTCTCTGTGCTGTCATTGTCTGAGATGTTCTCTGTTGTGCTGGAGTCCTCGGATGACGACTCATACCTGGGGAGGAACGAGCAGGGTGGGGGAGATGCTGCAGATGGGATGAGAAATGGCGGGAAAGGAAGGCAAGGATCTGGCTGCCTGACCTCTGTGGGCGTCAGCTTCCCCTTCTGTTCAGTGGCAGTGTTGGCATTTCAGGGCTGCGGGGATGTGGTCTACAGCAACGGGCCCATGGTAAGTGCTCAGGGAACATTAGCAGTGATCGTGAGCATGCTTGGGGCGAGGGGCACTGCTTCTCACTTGCTGCTCTTTGACATTTCTAGCACACCACTCCCTGCTTTTTTTTTTTTTTTGAGATGGAGCCTCACTCTGTTGCCCAGGCTGAAGTCCAGTGGCACGATCTTGGCTCACTGCAACCTCCCTCTCCCGGGTTCAAGCAATTCTCCTGCTTCAGCCTCCTGGGTAGCTGGGATTACAGGTGCCCACCACCATGCACAGCTAATGTTTTTATTTTTTATTTTTATTTTTTGAGACAGAGTTTTGCTCTTGTTACCCAGGCTGGAGTGCCATGGCGCGATGTCAGCTCACCAAAACCTCCACCTCCTGGGCTCAGGCAATTCTCCTGCCTCAGCCTCCTGAGTAGCTGGGATTACAGGCACGCGCCACCATGCCCAGCTAGTTTTTTGTATTTTTAGTAGAGACGGGGTTTCACCATGTTGACCAGGATGGTCTCGATCTCTCGACCTCGTGATCCACCCGCCTCGGCCTCCCAAAGTGCTGGGATTACAGGCTTGAGCCACCGCGCCCGGCCTTAATGTTTTTATTTATTTTTTATTTTTTATTTATTTTATTTTATTTTTTTTTGAGACGGAGTTTCGCTCTTGTTACCCAGGCTGGAGTGCAATGGCGCGATCTCGGCTCACCGCAACCTCCGCCTCCTGGGTTCAAGCAATTCTCCTGCCTCAGCTTTTGTATTTTTAGTAGAGACGGGGTTTCACCATGATGACCAGGATGGTCTCGATCTCTCGACCTCGTGATCCACCCGCCTCGGCCTCCCAAAGTGCTGGGATTACAGGCTTGAGCCACCGCGCCCGGCCAATGTTTTTATTTTTAATAGAGACAGGGTTTCATTATTTGGTCAGGCTGGTCTCACACTCCTGACCTCAAGTGATCCATCCACCTCAGCCTCCCAGAGTGCTGGGATTACAGGCATGAGCCACGACGCCCACCCCTGTCTTTTTAAGATCGAGTCTGACTCTGTTGCCCAGGCTAGTGCCCAGTTGTGCAATCTCGGCTCACTGCAACCTCTGCCTCCTGGGTTCAAGCAATTCTGCTTCAGCCTCCAGAGTAGCTGGGACTACCGCTTATACCACTGTGCTCGGCTAATTTTTGTATTTTTTAGTAGAGATAATGTTTTGCCATGTTGGCCAGACTGGTCTCAAACTCCTGAGCTCAGGTGATCCATCTGCCTTAGTCTCCCTGAGTGCTGGGATTACAGGCGTGAGCCATTGCACACGACCTCTAGCATTTTTTTTTTTTTTTTGAGATGGAGTCTCACTCTGTTGCCCAGGCTGGAGTGCAATGGTGAGATCTAGGTTCACTGCAACTTCTGCCTCCTGGGTTAAGCGAGTCTCCTGCCTCAGCCTCCCAAGTAGCTGGAACTGTGCCCACCACACCCAGCTATTTTTTGGTATTTTTCGTAGAGACAGGGTTTCATGATGTTGGCCAGGCTGGTCTTGAACTCCTGAGCTCAAGTGATCCGACCGCCTCAGCCTCCGAAAGTGCTGGGATTACAGGCGTGAGCCATCACGCCTGGTCCCTCTAGCCCTTTTAACACAGGTGATTCACACACTCATCCCACTGCAAATAGGGCTCTCTCCTATTTCTTGCTGCCTCTGGACAAAACCTAATCAAGCTTCTAGGCTCAGCATTCAAAGCCCCAAACCAGCCATCACTCCCTGCACCTCCTGCTTCTCATGTCACTCTGCTTTCCCGCCTCTGAGCCTTTACCCACACTGTGCCCCTGCCAGGAGAGCCATCCTCATGCCCTATCTTTGCCTTGCTGGATTCCACTTCTCTTGCAGCACCTGTGTCTCCTCCTTCTGGAATCACCCTAGGGCCACCTGTGTCTGTCTTTTTTTTTTTTTTTTGAGACTGAGTTTCGCTCTTGTTACCCAGGCTGGAGTGCAATGGCACGATCTCGGCTCACCGAAACCTCCGCCTCCTGGGTTCAGGCAATTGTCCTGCCTCAGCCTCCTGAGTAGCTGGGATTATAGGCACGCGCCACCATGCCCAGCTAAGGTTTTGTATTTTTAGTAGAGACGGGGTTTCACCATGTTGACCAGGTTGGTCTCGATCTCTCGACCTTGTGATCCACCCGCCTCGGCCTCCCAAAGTGCTGGGATTACAGGCTTGAGCCACTGCGCCCGGCACCTGTGTCTTCCTTGAGGCCCCTGTACCACCTGAGTGTCGTCCCCCTCACAGCTCCAACCACAACCTGCTAAGTGGCTCCAACTACCCATCAGCGCCCAGCTCCCCACTGACCAGGAGCTCTCTCGGGGCAGGAAGTGGAGTCCGGCACCTTCCGTGGGGCAGCGCAGTGGAGTGCTGACACCCTGAGCAGTTGAGCCAGGCCACCCGGGGCCAACTCCTAGGACACAGAGTGAGCTCCAGCAACGTGCTCAGCCTCCTCATTCCTGTTTCCTCATCTCTCCATTGTGGTTTGGTTAATAAATGAATTAACCAAAGCAAGGGGCTTGGAATGAGGAAATTAGGAGACTCGTGTGTGTGGATGAGTGGAGGGAGGGGCGGGAAGTATGGAGTTGGGGGGGGGTCTTCTCTCACCCGCCATTGACCCCCACGAACTGGAGGCTCCTCTGGTGGGTCACGGGGTCTGCAATCTCCTCTTTCTGTTTCATGATAGTTTGCATGCCTGCCGGAGGCCCGCCTGGACGGGAGGACAGAAGCGGTGTTATGAGAACCCTTCAAGGCCAGACTCCGAGTTGAAGTCATTCAGGTGCCCATGCCTCTTGGTGGCTACCCACCACTTACCGGTGCCCCTGGCCTCCTCAGACTCTTGGGAGGCTGCTTGCCTGGTGGGCTCCCTGTGGGTGTCCTGGGTGGGCACCCAGCCTGGGGTCTTCTCAGGCTCTGTCAGGGAGGCTACCTCGGACCCTGGGGGTGACGAGGATGATTCAACAGGAACTTGTGGGAGGCCTGGAGGGACAGGAAATGAGGAATCTGCTAAAAGCCAAACCACCACCCTGCGGGTCACACACCCCAGGCCGGGTGCTGTCCAAGGGCTGATTTTGTTGTTACCACATCCAGTCTTCCTGGACCTCAGAGGGAAGTTGGATTATTATGAATGATGAAACTGAGGCACAGAGCTGCCAAGGTCGCCCCTTGAGCAGGTGGCTTTGGGAGGCCAAGGCAGGTGGATCACCTGAGATCAGGAGTTCCAGACCAGCCTGGCCAACATGGTGAAACCCGGTCTCTACTAAAAATACAAAAAATTAGCCAGGCGTGGTGGCGAACACCTATAGCCTCAGCTATGCGGGAGGCTGAGGGAGGAGAATTACTTGAACCCGGGAGGCGGAGGTTGTAGTGAGCAGAAATCATGCCACTGCAATTCAGCCTGGCAACAGAGCAAGACCTACCTCTTTAAAAAAAATCAGACGGGCCAGGAGTGGTGGCTCACGCCTGTAATCCAAGCACTTTGGAGGCCAAGGCGGGCGGATCACCTGAGGTCGGGAGCTCAAGACCAGCCTGACCAACATGGTGAAACCCCATATTAAAAAAAAAAAAAATTAAAAAAAAATCAGATAAAAACATGTCTTGGCAGGCAGGCTCATGCCTGTAATCCCAGCACTTTCAGAGGCCATGGTGGGTGGATCACAAGGTCAGGAGTTCAAGACCAGCCTAGCCAACATGGTAAAACGCCGTCTCTACTAAAAATACAAAAATTAGCTGGGCGTGGTGGTGGGCATTTGTAATTCCAGTGATTCAGGAGGCTGAGGCGCGAGATTTGCTTGAACCTGGGAAGTGGAGGTTGCAGTAAGCCGAGATCATGCCACTGCACTCCATCCAGCCTGGGGGATAGAGCAAGACTCTGTTTCCAATAATAATAAAAAAAAGGCCGAGCATGGTAGTTCACGCCTGTAATCCAAGCACTTTGGAGGCCAAGGCGGGCAGATCACCTGAGGTCGGGAGTTCAAGACCACCCTGACCAACATGGTGAAATCCCATCTTTAAAAAAAAAAAAAAAAAAAAGGGCCGGGCGCAGTGGCTCAAGCCTGTAATCCCAGCACTTTGGGAGGCCGCGGTGGGTGGATCACGAGGTCAAGAGATCGAGACCATCCTGGTCAATATGGTGAAACCCCATCTCTACTAAAAATACAAAAAAGTAGCTGGGCATGGTGGCCTGTGCCTGTAATCCCAGCTACTCAGGAGGCTGAGGCAGGAGAATTGCCTGAACCCAGGAGGCGGAGGTTGCGGTGAGCCGAGATCGCGCCATTGCACTCTAGCCTGAGTAACAAGAGCGAAACCCCGTCTCAAAAAAAAAAAAAAAAAAAAAAAAAAAAAAAAAAAAAAAAAAAAGAGGCAAGGCGTGGTGGCTCATGCCTGTAATCTCAGCACTTTGGAAGGCCGAGGTGGGCGGATCACCTGAGGTCAGGAGTTGAAGACCAGCTTGGCCAATATGATGAAACCCTGTCTTAAAAAAATAAAAAAAGGAAGAAAAAAGAAATCCTGGGGAAGCCATAAATGAGGTAGAGCAACATTATGCTAAGTGAAAGAAGCCAGATGCAAAAGAGACAAAAACATTGCATGATTCCATTCACACAAGGTCCCTTACAGTTAAGATTTATTATCATTATTATTTGCTACAGACACTCACTCCATTGATTAGGCTGGAGTGCAATGGTACAATCTCGGCTCACTGCAACCTCTGCCTCCTGGGTTCAAGTGATTCTCCTGCCTCAGCCTCCTGAATAGCTGGGATTTTAGGTGCCCACCATACAAAATAAATTTTGTATTTTTAGTAGAGACAGGGTTTTACCACGTTGGCCAGGTTGATCTCGAACTCCTGACCTCAGGTGATCTGCCTGCCTCAGCCTCCCAAAGTGCTGGGGTTACAGGTGTGAGCTGCCACGCCTGGCCCTAGAGTAGTCAGATTTAAACAGACAGAAAATAGAACAGTGGGTGCCAGGGACTGGGGAAGGGGAATGGGGAGTGAGTGTTTAATGGGGCCAGAGTTTCAGTTTGGAAAGATGAGTAAGTTCTAAAGATGGGTGGTGGTGATGGTTGCACAATAATGTGAATTGGCTGGACGCAGTGGCTCACACCTATAATCCCAGGACTTTGGGAGGCTGAGGTGGAAGGATCACTTGAGCCCAGGAGTGTGAGACCAGCTTGGGCAACACAGAGAGATCCTGTTCCTAAAAAACGTAAGAAAAACAAAACAAAACAAAATGACACAAATGTACTTAATGTCACTGAATGATATATTCAAAAACGGCTAACAGGATAAGTTGTTTTTCTTTTTTGAGATGGAGTCTTGCTCTGCTGCCCAGGCTGGAGTGCAACGAACGGCATGATCCCGGCTCACTGCAACCTCAGCCTCCTGAGTTCAAGCGATTCTCCTGCCTCAGCCTCCAGAGTAGATGGGATTACAGGTGTGTGCCACCACACCAGGCTAATTTTGTAGGGTTAGTAGAGATGCGGTTTTGCCATGTTGGCCAGGCTGGTCTCGAACTCCTCACCTCCGGTGATCCACCCGCCTCAGCCTCCCAAAGTGTTGGGAATACAGGCGTGAGCCACCATGCCCGGCCAGATGGTAAATTTTATGTTGTATGTATGTTACCACAATAGTTTTAAAAAGTGAAAGAATTTGAGAGGCTGAGGCAGGAGGATCACTTGAGGCTAGGAGTTCAAGACCAGCCGAGGCAACAAAGGAAGGCTCCATCTCTACAAAAAATTTACAAATTAGCCAGGTGTAGTGGAGTGTGCCTACAGCTACTTGGGACTACACATGGCTGAGATGAGAGGATCACTTAAGCTCAAGAGTTTGAGGTTACACTGAGCTATGATAACACTGCTGTACTTCAGCCTGGGTGATTGAGTGAAGCCTGTCTTAAAAAAAAAAAAAAAAGGGCCAGGCGTGGTGGTTCACACTTGTAATCCCAGCACTTTGGGAGGCAGATGCGGGCGGATCACCTGAGCTCAGGTTTTGAGATCAGCCTGGTCAACATGGTGAAACCTCGGCTCTACTAAAAATACAAAAATTAGCTGAGTGTGGTGGTATTTGCCTGCAATCCCAGCTACTAGGGAGGCTGAGGCAGAACTGCTTGAACTCAGGAGGTAGAGGTTACAGTGAGCCAAGATCACACCACTGCACTCCAGCCTGGGTGAAAGAGTGAGACTCCACTTCAAAAAAAAAAAAAGTGAAAAAAAATAAAACCAAAGAAACTAGTGTAAAACTAAAGCCCATTCTGTCCCAACAGAAATGCAGGAAGTGACTTCAAAACCTGGGATGGCTCCTTCTAGTCTAAGGAGTTCAAGGTTAGACATGGAATGCTAGAATAACAACAAGTAATAATAAAATTGATCATACTTATTATTGTTATCCCACTGGGGAATGGGGCCAGCTGACACCAAAATTTACACAAAAGAACTAAAGTCCAGTGATGACCTAAGACAATTCTACAAAAGAAGAACAAGGGAGTAGTCAGTCTCTGAGAGAGTAAAACATATTTCAAAGCCACAACCATCAGAACAGCAGGGCATTTTTGCATTAACAAATGGACCAATGGGACAGAGAAGACAGCCCAGCACACGCTCCAATCTTTGGGCACTTAGGGTAAGACGGAGGGGGTTTCCACAAGTCAGTGGGAAAGGGTGGATTCTGTGGTGTGGTTTTGGGAGAAGCAGCTTACTTTACATGGGAAAAGTCAAGCTGGATCTCTATCTCATACTATACACAAGAAAGAAATTGTGGGCCGGGCGTGATGGCTCACAGCTGTAATCCCAGCACTTTGGGAGGCCGAGGAAGGCAGATCACAAGGTCAGGAGATCAAGACCATCCTGGCCAACATGGTGAAACCCCATCTTGACTAAAAATATAAAAATTAGCTGGAGGCCGGGCGCAGTGGCTCAAGCCTGTAATCCCAGCACTTTGGGAGGCCGAGGCGGGGGGATCACGAGGTCAAGAGATCGAGACCATCCTGGTCAACATGGTGAAACCCCGTCTCTACTAAAAATACAAAAAATTAGCTGGGCATGGTGGCGCGTGCCTGTAATCCCAGCTACTCAGGACGCTGAGGCAGGAGAATTGCCTGAACCCAAGAGGCGGAGGTTGCGGTGAGCCGAGATCGCGCCATTGCACTCCAGCCTGGGTAACAAGAGCAAAACTCCGCCTCAAAAAAAAAAAAAAAAAATTAGCTGGGCATGGTTGTGTGTATCTGTAATCCCAGCTACTTGGGAGGCTGAGGCAGGAGAATCGCTTGAACCTGGGAGTCGAAGTTTGCAGTGAGCCAAGATTGCACCACAGTATTCCAGCCTGGCAACAGAGGGAGACTCCATCTCAAAAAAAAAAAAAAAAAAATTTGTGAAGGATTAAGATGAAAATACAACTACAGGGCCGGGCGTGGTGGCTCAAGCCTGTAATCCCAGCACTTTGGGAGGCTGAGGTGGGTAGATCACAAGTTCAAGAGATCGAGACCATCCTGGTCAACATGGTGAAACCCCGTTTCTACTAAAAATACAAAAAAATTAGCTGGGCATGGTGGTGCGTAGTCCCAGATACTCAGGAAGCTGAGGCAGGAGAATTGCTTGAACCCAGAAGGCGGAGGTTGCGGTGAGCCGAGATCGCGCCATTGCACTCCAGCCTGGGTAACAAGAGCGAAACTCCACCTCAAAAAAAAAAAAAAAAAAAAGAAAGTACAACTACAAAGCTAAAGGGGTATAATGTAGCAGAGTATCAGGGACTCAGGAAGGGGAAAGATTCATTCATTCATTCACATTCATTCCTTCATATTCATTCATTCAGGATGACAGGGTCTCCCTCTGTTGTCCAGGCTGGAGTGCAGCACCATGATCACAGCTCACTATCCTCCCACTTCAGCCTCCCAAGTAGCTGGGATTACAGGGACGCAACATCATGCCTGGCTAGCTTTTGTATTTTGTAGAAATGAGGGTCTTACTATGTTGCGTAGGCTGGC